TACACTCTGAACAGTTGTTTTTATATATCCACGTCCTTAAAACAGCCCTTGCAACATCCCCAGCACCACTTTGGAAGGCAATAGGAACAAAATCACATGGAGAAGACAGGGAATGGGAGGGGAAGTCCTCAGCTTAAAGAAGGGGAACATACCAGAATCCAGCCAGGTAATTCTGGGAGGAGATTAACAGCATCCAAAGATGAAGGACTGAAAAGGGGCCCCTCTTCCCACATAATCTGGGTATATATCTCACTCAAATATTCATGAAGACAAAGCAGAATAGAGCAAAATTGTGTTTCAAAGCCCCAACACACACCAAAATTCAGGCCAATTTTTATGCTTCTTACTGAGAACTTCCATCTTTTAGAGGGACTGGGACGGGGAACTGCTGTTTTATGTTTTGCGTTTAAAAATCAATTCTTTTTCCTTCTTAAACACTTTACAAAATGAGTGGGATAAATAATTTTGCAGCCTGGAGCTATTCATGCTGCTCCTGACTGCCACACACCGACAGCACGGTATCCACAGAGGAACTGGGGACAAACCAACCCTCCTGCCCTGCAGGCACTGAGCAGGCTTGGGCTCAAACCCCTGATGGGGAGATCCAAGCTAGGCTGTACCACCTCTGGCAGACACAGAGCAGGGAGCATCCCCATCCCTGCTGCTCCCAGCTCATCCACAAGGCTCCTGAAATGATCCCAGTTAGCCCCAGCCAAGGGCATCTGGCCAGGCTTTACCACTTTTGCTTCCTCTGCAATCCAGCTTAGGAAAAAACTCACGGTGACATTCCCCTCATGCTGCCCCTTCCCTGGAATATCACTATATAAAAGAAAAAAAGGCAAACCAAGAGCAGGTGACCTCGAAGAGGATCTTCTCAGCAGGCTTTGCTGACACAGGCACAGAAGGGCTGAGCTGCTCTTTGCACTGTTTCTCACCCCTGGGGCACAGCAGGAACATCCATCTGCAGCTGCTGCTGGGGCAGAGGCATTCCCACAGCTCTGACAGAGCTCCTGGCAGCTGGAGCTGCGCAGGCGGAAGTGATTGTGCCTCAAACACTTCCTTTACCACTGATAACACAATTCCTGCCAGGGCCCTGCCAAGGCTGCACTGATAAGGAGAGGATCTGCAAGCAGTCCTGCTCCCACAGGGATTTATTTTTAGACGTCAGATACAGCAAGGCAAACATAGAGACTGTGCTGTTGGAAGGGATAATTCTGTGTCAAATGCAAGATGCTGAAGTGATATGAATGTGCATTACAGCACTTGCCTTGAGCAAACGGCTTTTGAGGGAGCAAAGAATATTATCTGGGAAGCGTGGAGCTGATCAGCTCTCCATATTCCATTACCAAAACCTTCACAGCTGAAGATAATGTCTTAATTCTTTCAAGTAAAGAACAGAGTATTAATTCCTGGTAGGAAGTAGATATTTAAGGAATTCCTAATCTTTCTCCTGTTTGTATTAATGGCATTTAGCACTAAGTAAAGTAAAACCATATTTAATAGAATCACAGAATATCCTAGGCTGGGAGAGCCCACAGGGACCATCCAGCCCAAGCCCTGGCCCTGCACAGACACCCCAACAATCCCACCCTGTGCATCCCTGGGAGCATTGTCCAAATGCTCCTGGAGACTTGGCAGACTTTCTTTAGAATATAGTTACTGAATTACATAAATGTCTTCTTAAATTATAACAGAAATTTAACTCTGTCTCAGTCTAGAGTCAGTGCTTAATGCAAGCAGAAGGGTATGGGACTCCATATCCATTTTTCTATCTCACATTTTTAAACTTGGGGAATTTGAAGTTGCCTCAGTAGGTCCCACAGAGTTTTGATGAGTTCTTTTCAGTTATTTATTCATAAATCTGACAGAAACCAAACAGATATAATACAAAGCTTGTTTGTTTTTCTAGATGCAAAGTGCTGATGTTGAACAGTGGGCATTTTTATCATTTCACAGGTGTAATTACAGACTCTTCTGCACAAATGCAATTTAACCACTTGGAAATGACCTTTTATTTGTACAAAGATTTTTATGTAGACTTACCATCAATGTGTCCAATGAGTGAGAACCAGGTCAAAAAAGTTAAAGGGGAGATATACCTTGCATTTTATGTAAATTGAAAAGAACCTAAATTAGGAAAAAAGTAAATTGAGAAGAGACATTGTATCTCCCTAGGAGATGGACCATAAAAAAGCTGAACCACAGTTCTGAATATTTATCCCATGTCAGACTAAAACACATCTATGAGGCAGAACCTGGCTTTTCATTAGAAATTAAAAATTAATGATGCAGCCCTTAAAATAAATACAGTAATGAACATAAGGTATTTCAGCAGAATGCCAGTGAATTTTGGGCACTGATGCAATCTGTGAGGCTTAACCTGTTGGTACAGCTTTGACATCACTGCCTTTGCCTGGCAACCAGCAATTTCCTGGGATGCCACACGTGCCTGGCTGGCCAGCCACAGGTATGGGTGAGCTATTGCTGTTGGGAGCAGCGTGGAAGGACATTTCTGAAGAGAAAAAGCCCCCCAAAGTGCATCCAGCCTCACTAGCACGGTGCAAGGATTGGAAGAGAACAAATCCCTTTTCATACCTCTCAGGAATTTAATTTAAAACTATCTCATCAGGTGAAATGTCAGGCTATTAATACCTCCTGCACCATGAGACCATATTATAAGTGACATAAACGTTACAAAACAACCTGAAATTTGGCCAGGCTGTTAATAGACAGCATTACACAATTCCTGACACGGACAGATAATGCTGTATTTTCTACTATGCAAATTTCTAACAGTGAATAGATTTTGAAAGCAGTTTACACCCACCAGCCCTCAGATGCAACTCAGTAATTCTCTATTAGGTGCCAAGCTGTCACTTCCCATCACTCCAGCCCACTGCTATTCTCTGCTCTACCTTGGGAGCACAAAGGAGCCTCCAACTTGATTAAAATGCATGAGCCCTGTGTGAACCTATTTTTAAATCTCCCAACTAATACTGCTGTTGTATTAACAGCTTTCATTTATTTTACCATTAATACTGGTATTCTAAGGAAGTGCTGCAATGCTTTATCTTTTCACATTTCAGCAGCAAAGCCCTTGTTCTCAAAGAGATTTTTCACCATATAAGAAAGTCCTGACACTGTGGGGATTTATCAGAAACCTTGCTTAGGCAAAGGAAGCAATTACAGGCACAGAGGGCCTGAGTTACCTTATTTAGACACAAATTTTGCTTTAGGTACACAAATAGCTAAACAGGTAGGGTTTTTCAGAGGGAGATGTGGTGGAAACAGAGAACTGAGCCCTCAACACACACAGAGTCTCAGTTTAATGACAGTTCTTCTCATGCTGTCACCAGCCCCTGTCTTCTTCCTGGGTTCACAGCACAGATACAGAAAACAGCTCAGGGCTGAGATAACCAATAACAGCTCAATAAACAATACCATTTTTATTTCCCGTGCTACATCCTTCCACAATCTCTGTCTTTCAGGCTGAGATTACAGCCTCTGGTGTGGTTGTGTCAGGAGAGCACTGAGCAAGAGCAGGGGAAGCTGCAGGGGCAGCAGTGACACCACAAAAAGCAGTGCTAAACCACTCCTGCTTGTGGGAGCTCCAGGAAAACCTGGAAAGGATGTGTCACCTGGTCTTACTTCTGCCTCTCACACACATAAAGATGAGCCCCACAGGTCTGCCCTGCCATCCTGAAAACATCCCAGGAAATGCTTCAACCCACAAAAGAATTAATTATTGGTCATCAAAACAATGTGCCATGCACAGCTTGTGCTCCCTCTCCAGTTGCACACGGTACTGAACACCCCTGGATGATGGGAGGGAGAACTCAGAGGAGCACAGGACGCAAAAACCCCACCTGTGCAGACACAGACCTGCTCCAACATAAAACTTCTCTCCACAATTACTGAAAAATTAGTTGTGCCACATCAGCAAATTACCAGGAGACAGAAAGCAGGGACACAGATAAGCCATGCTGTTCCTATACACAGAAAATGAAAATAAACAGTTTTCAGCAGAGTGAGTTCTGCTCCTGCTTGCCTGTTTCCTGGGGCCTCCATGGGAACTGAGCTCTTTGCCCTCTATTTGTGCCCAGTGCTTTGTGTGCCTGGGTGTGCAGAGCCCACAGCCCAGAACCAACCCTCCCAGAGCCACCAAGTGTGAGCAACAGCAGATCCCAGCCCTGAACAGGACCCAAGCTCCCTCCCAGCCAGAATTTTACTGAGACAGAGGAAAAAAAACCCAGCTGCATAATTCTGCTTGCAAAAGTGTCAAGTACAGCAGCATGGAAGGCTGTAAATAATTCACTCAGTATTACAGGAAATGTTTCACAAATGAAAAGGTTGTAACCTCCTTTTGGCTACAAGGCTGGCAGATGCTGGAGGCATTCCTGCTCCTCTAAGTGCAGAACAAAATGTGTCCTGTTTGTGAGAAACTCCTGGGTCTCAGCCCTCCCTGGAAAATGCTTCTGCCTGTATTCCTGAGGGAGGGATCACAGAGGAGCAAAGCCTGCACACTTCCAGAAATGCAGCTCAGGCTGACGAGCACTTTCTGGTATTTTGATGACACAGCTGCTGCAATGCACAATGCAGAGCTAAGGGAAGGGGTAAATTTGATTTATTTATATTTACATAAATACATTCACACAATTTTTTTAATCACACACACACTCAAACCAAAAATAAACATGCAGTGATTACAGATGACTCAAGACTGAATGTTTGATACAGTTTTAAAACAGTGACATCAGCCAAATCCAGTGGAAATAAAACCATCTCCAAGCTCAAAGGAGAGCTCCACATGACTGAGTGCAGATTCTGCCCCAGCACATAGAAGCAATTTCAAATGAAGTCTCTACAGCCTTAACTTCTTACCACTAAACATTTAGCAACAAACTAAATGAGCCTCAATGCAGTTCCCTCTATGCCTCCCCACTGGGTCAGCTCGCAGGAAGCACAAGGTGTTTTATGTGTAAGAGAAATCCAAGACTCACCTGTATGTTGCCGAAGTCCACGTTTTCATAGTGGAAATGTGCACACTCAGCCATCTTCGGGAAGTGCCCCTTTGTAAAGGATAACCTGGAGCACACCAAGAACACACCATGAGATGGATGCAGACCACTCAACACAGATAAACAACAGCTACTGATGCAAAACAACAACTTTCTCATCCTAAAGCCAAGGGAACACAGGGATTTGCACCAAAACAGTAGGGAAAGGAATGCTGAAATGCCAAGTGGCTTTTCCACTGCATCCCTACAGAGCTGTGAGACATTCCAGCAGCACCACATCCCAGTGCATCCCTAGAGAGCTGTATGAGATATTCCAGCAGCACCACATCCCAGTGCATCCCTAGAGAGCTGTGAGACATTCCAGCAGCACATCCCAGTGCATCCCTAGAGAGCTGTGAGACATTCCAGCAGCACATCCCAGTGCATCCCTAGAGAGCTGTGTGTGACATTCCAGCAGCACCACACCCCTCAGGATGGACAGGAGCAGGGACAAGCAGCTGCACCTCACAAATGCACATCCACAGCCTTACACGAGACACAAGGAAAACAGAACTTTACCTGTGAAAGGCATCACAGCCCATCAGTCCCGGGGGGATGTATCTGAGGGTGCAGAACAAACTCTATTTATCCTTTGCCTTTTGCAAAATTCAAAAATCAGGCATAATTATTCCCAAGTGTTTCCAGCAACACTGGTGGCTGCCGGGGAGCTCCTCTGGCTCTGCAACATGCTTCTGCTAAAGCTATTATAGACTCCTATAGATATTCCTGGTGGTGAGCCAATGAGATTGTCATTATCTAGCTCCCTCTTCCCACGGGAATACAAGTGGGAAGTGAGATGCAGCATCTGGCTGCTCAGCACTGGAACAAAGAACCATTTCCCTCTCAGCAGAGCACTAGAGGGGTGAGCTGAAGGCTCTGATCCATCAATCTTGGGGAGTTCTGCTCCTCAAGTCAGCAATTTTAGCAAAAGTAATATTGATTATTTCTGATCCCTGTTGCTGCACACATAATGACTTGGTTTACAGTCTCTGGGAGAGAGGCAGAGACAGAAATACAGCATGAGCCTACAGGAAAAAAAACCAAACTGGGAGATCAGGGAAGAAAAAATATCCCTTAGAAGGGAAAACTGTGTAAAATCCATTCAAATGAAGTTATAGAGGGCAAAATGCAAAAAGAAAAGAGAAAAAAACATCAGATAAAAAATACATATAGGCCACCCACTTGTCCTGGTTTAGCTTTCCAGAGCATAAGGAGACAGGGAAAATTATTGCATTTACACATTGCCTGGGCTTCTTTTGAGATTTTTAAATAATTGTTCTATTATAATATGTTCTATTGTGGGGTTTTTTTAATTAATCACTTTCATGAAGAATTAGTAAAAAAAATTGAAACCACTGCAACAGTGAAGTTCAAACCCTACCTAGCTTTGTTTCAATAGCCAGAAAGAGGAGAGTGAGCCAGCAAAACCTCTCATGCCCAGCTTTAGGCTCCATTAGCTCAAACTGCCTTTAGCTCCACATGGATTTCAGCTGCTGTGCTGAAGATACATCAGCAGAAACTGCAGCACAACAGCCACAACTTGGCACAGCAAAACTGTAAGCCCAGGAAAGACGAGAAAATCACAGAAGTGTGCTCTTACTTTTTCACGTTCTTCACCTTCATGCTGGCGGTGCTGCCGCAGGAGCGCAGCTGCAGCTCCCCCGGGATGTCCGGAATGTCGGCGCCCCGCGCCTGCAGGAACACACAGGAGACAGGAGAAACAGGGGGGTTAAACGTGGCTGCAGGCCTGGGCTCTGCCTGCTGACAGCAGCCCCTCTGCTCTGCACAGGGACTCAAACCTGAACTCTGCCTTTGGACCAGGGAAAACTGACCCTCAGGATGGGGACCAGGGAGTGACAATCTCCTCCTGCTCCTCTTCTCTTACCCCCTGCTAACCCTTGGGGTAACTGTGAAATCCAGCATTCGATTCATTGCTACTTCTGCTTTCTAAAGCAGAGAGTTTCAGAGGCGGGAGTGAAACAGAAATTCCCAAATTCCATACTTGGACTCCTCAGTGAGTACCTGATTTTCCAGACATCTGTGTGTTTAGACTCAGGCAGAGGCACTGTAAAAAGCTGGATTGCTCACACAGTAGAAAACAAGTTAATGACAGAGCTGCTTATATGTGGGATGTGAACTTCTAAAACAGATGTTTGAAGCTATTGGTTTAAGTGCTTGACGATATTAAAATTCCTTAATTATTAAAATTCATTTACTTCAGTGAGGCCAGAACTCCAAACTCCCTTGTCACAGGCATCTTTTCATAAAAATCCTTTCTTTAGGAGTTTTCTCCCTTCTGAGAAGCTGTGGCCTCAGCAACAAGATGTAAACAATGGTTATCTGCTGCTGTGGAATGCACCAGGTGGATCCCTGATTGGTCTCCCGTGGATGTTTGGATTTACTGACCACTCACGGCAGAGCTGGGTCTCACTCTCTGCTGAGAGACAGGCCTTTGTTATTCACTCTTTTCTATTCTTAGCTTAGCTAGCCTTCTGAGAACTTTTCCTTCTATTTCTTTTAGTATAGTCACAATGTAATATATATCATAAAATAATAAATCAAGCCTTCTGAACATCAGGTCAACATTCTCATCTCTCTCTTCATCCTGCAACCCTTGTGACCACTGTGACACTCCCTCCTTTCTGTTCTGTCATATTTTCCCATCCCCTCCTTCCTCCAGCTGCCTTTGCCTAAGCCATGAGCTTCTGCTGGCGTTGAATTCTCCATCATAAGAAACACAAACATTTCACTCCTTGATTTTCTCCCACTGTGATCCAGAGGAATGACAGGTTCAGTGAGGCTTTTATGGAGAGAGCAGTAATCAAACAGCAAGACCAGCACAACTTCACAGAGAAGGAGGAGAAACAACTGATGCTGGCCAGAGATTGCCCATCAGTGATGTGGGTGACACCAGCTGAGGGAGCTTTTTCTGCTTTATACAATGCACTAAAAACATGAACAATGTCCCAAAGAGGGAATGCTGAACCAAGAGGAAGAAAGGCACTTCAGTGTTATTTGTTTTGGAAACAAAAAGTATTCCATCAAATCCTTTTTCTAATGATAGGAGCAAAGATGATTGGCCTGATGTTACATCAGTCCCAATGGCTCTCAGTTGGTCCAGCAGAAGATCTCTGAACAGAGTTGGATCTGTCCCAAAGCTGTGACTGATAACAGAACACAGTTGCATTCTGCAGCGTGAAATATGCAGAAATATGAGAATACGGTCTCCACCCCCAAAACTTAATCGTTGGACCAGCACAACCCAAGGAAGCAGCCCATGTGTGGGACGAACTACAGGACAATTTTGTGACCCCTCCCTGAAGCTCCCATTTGACCCTGGCACAGGTTACCTGTACCTGAGCTTCACCACCTCACTGAGAGCTCTGGTGAGTCAGCCAGTGCCACTCTCCTTGTTTTCACCAACCAGACCAGTGCCAGACAGAGAGAGAGAGAGAGAGAGAGAGAGAGAGAGAGAGAGATCCATCCCACTGAAGGCCAGACAGGCACAGGGGTGAGGCTACAGCCACATTATCCATGTGAGGCTCCTGCTGCAGCCACCAGGGACACTCTGGTACTTGAGGTTCACTCCCCTGCTTTAGACAACAGGAGGAGAGTCCTGGGATGGTTCAGGGTGGAAGGAACTGTACAGATCATCCAGTCCCACCCCTCCCCTGGGCAGGGACACTTTCCACTATCCCAGCCTGCTCCAAGCCCCATCCAACCTGGCCTTGGACACTTCCAGGGATCCAAGGGGAAGCACAGATTCTCTGGGCACCCTGTGCCAGGGCCTCACCACCCTCACAGGAAGAATTTCTTCCTAACAGCCCACCTAACTACTAAACGTGGACAGGGAATCCATTCCCCCTGTCCTGTCGCTCCAGGTCCTTGCCCACAGTCTCTCTCCACCTTCCTTCTCAGCCTCTTCAGGCTCTGGAAGACCACAATGAGGTCACCCTGAAGTTTCTCTTCTCCAGGTTGAACAATCCAATAGTAGGAGTCCCAGTAAAATATATGTATTGTATAAGTGGCCTTGCCCCAATCCTAGTTCTATATGGGCTGCAGCTGTGATGCCCTTAATTGGGTGGCAGCTGCAGCTAATGAAGATAACTGGGATAAAAGGGGGTGGGCTGGGTGGTCAGGGAGAGCCCTGATGTAGAAGCAGGAGCAACAGTGCTGTGAAGGGCTGCTTGTGAGCAAGCCACCCAGAAGGTATGGGACTCTAGAAATAGGATAACAGCAATATGAATACAACACAATCCCAATTCTTTCAGTCTCTCCTCACTGCAGAGCTGCTCCATCCCTCTGACCATCCTGGTGCCTCCTCTGGACAGAGCCAAACAGGCTGCAGGAACACCCACTCCCCTGGGCACAGGGCTGCAGGCTGAGCCTGGCTCTGAGGAGATGAACCCCAAGGGCTGCAGAACTCACCTGCAGCTGCACCCACCAGCTCCTGGTGCCTCCAGCACTGCCCTTGGAAGGTTCCCTCTGAGTGAGCTCCACCCTTTGAGCACCACTGAACAAGTCTGAACCCAGGTGTCTCTCCTCCAGCTGCACCATCCACAGCCCTGCCCACAGCCAGTGCTCTGACCCCACTGTCCCACAGCTCTGCACAAAGGCACAGCCCCTCACCAGAGGAAAACAGGAACAATGTTTATACACTTAAATAAACCTACCCTGGGCTGACTGACTTACTGAGCACACAATCACTTCAGGATGTAATAGGACACTTGAGAGTCTCAGTGTTGATTTTAGCATTAAGAGGATCACCAATTTAATAAGACTTACAGGTCTTTTACATAAGAAAATAACTAATTACAAGAATAAATGTGCCATTCCAATAAGCTGCTTTTAGGCCAAGCTGGATGCACTTGCTTAATTTCCTAAGGAACAGAATTTCTGTAGGAAGAAAAGTAATTTTTCTTCTCTATCAGCAGTAGGAGCTGGTGGGATATAAAAATGGATAAACAATCTGACAGAAAATGTGGGCTTCAAGCCAGTTTTCAGCAGTGGGCAGAGACCTCCCTGGATCTGACTCAAAGTGGCGTAGGCAAAACTCACACCTCCAGGAGCCCAAAATGCCAGCACCTCTCTTGGAAAAGTTGTATTATCCTCTTCTTCCCAGAGGAGTTAAGTCCAAATTGAGCTGGATTTCTGCATCTCCTATTTTCTGCATCCAGTTAACTGGACCACAGTGAGATGCAAGGCAGTAATTACTCCAGGGGCTTTTCCAATTTGAGCTGAGCTCCATGGACTGCTGCAGAACAACCATCTCTCCAAGGCTCACAGTTGAGGCAAAAGCACAGAAAGGTAAGGACAGAGAACTTGTGCAAGCTCAGATCTTTATTAAGAGGTACCAATATGAGAAAAAACCTTGGTGGAGAGATAGATACCAAAAAAGAAACTTATTGTAATTTTAGAAACTGCAATTACTCCTAAATAACAATTCCTTTCCATTCAAACCAAAGACACACAGCTACATAAAATAGATTTTATACTCTGTTTTGTACCTGTTTTGATGCAAAACTTGGCACGTAGCATGCAGGTCACTCTCCCCTCAAAACACAGGCAAAACCCTCCAAACGAAATTTGTCATCTTTTGTGCTTTGTGTCACAGTAATTTAATTTTAAAAATCATTTTGAAACAGTTGGATTATTTACATCTGAAAATTAGCTACCTGGCATCATCAGTGGCTTCTCACTTCCCTATTTTCTATGCATCGCTGTGCTGTGGAAACCTGGTAATTGCAGAGCAAATCTGTTTATGCAAATTGTTTGGTCCCATTTTCACAGCTGAATGTCACTGCTGCATCAATCTGCTCCGGTCCAAAACTTGGTAAACAAATTAGAGCTCAAGGCAGAACTCAGAGAATTGATTTATCAGGAATCTCAGTCGCTTACCTTTGCAGGGAAGGTTTTGGAGCGACACCACTTCACCAGCTTGCCCTAAACCAAGAAATTCTCCTTCCAAAAGCTTGACTTGTATCAGCAGTAGTTGAGACAATATTGCAGAAAGTCAGTATTTTGTCACAGACACCTGCAGGGATTGCCAGGCAGGGAGATCTCACTAAAGCCTTCCTCTAGGGAGGAGGAAGAACGCCTGTGTGCCTGTCCAACCCTCCCGTGGATCACAGCAGAACAGGATTGGGAAGGGTGGGAAAGGCCTTTGGGATCCAGAGCATCCCTGGCTGCCCCCCCTGTGCTCAGCACAGACCGTGCCCCAGGGCTCCACAGCCACAGTTTCCTGCACACCAACAGGGACAGTGACCCAGCCCGGCCCTGGGCAGCTGTGTCAGAGCTGGGCAGCTCTTTCCAGAGAGAAATTCTCCCTGATATCCAATCTAAACCTCCCCTAGAGCAACTTGAGGCCATTCCCTCTGCTCCTGTCCCTGTTCCCTGGAGCACAGCCCGACCCTCCCTGGCTGTCTCCCCCTGGCAGGAGCTGTGCAGAGCCACAAGGGCCCCTGAGCCTCCTCTGCTCCAGGCTGAGCCCCTGCCCAGCTCCCTCTGCCCCTCCTGGGGTGAGCCCCTTCCCCAGGTCTGCTCCCTTCCCTGGACCTGTTCAAGTGTTGCTCCTAATCTCCCTGGGAATCTGAGAGAGGAATCTGAGAGCTCTCACAAATCAGGCTGTTTAGCTTTAAGCATTTGATATTTCTAGTCTTTTTATTTATAGACATGATTTAGAAAACTTCAGC